TACTCGAGCAAGTTGGTTAATCAGTTATTTGGTTAATCAATTACTGGAATAATCAAAATTTTGATTACTCAAAGCAATGATTAATCAATTGATTGATTACTCAAAAAAAATTTATTTTGCTCGTTAAAAGAGTTTGCTTTGGAAAATGCTTTTTTTTTTAAACAGAAACGTTATTTTTAAAGTATAAAGGAACTTCAACTATTTTATTGTTGTTGTAGGCTAGTCGATCGATTATTTTCGTGTGCAAGAAAACCACTTATTTCTTCACGTTTTGCCCAACGTTTCGCTAATCACCTTAGCATCTTCAGGGGCGCATCTTTATTTACATAGACATCAATAAGAAACAAAAAACAATGTTATCGACAAATATTGATATATGTATGTACATAATTACAAAAATTAGGTTAAATATTTGAAAAACAACAAACGAAGATACAAACACAAAGGGACAATCACAGGTTTTTGATTTTAATTGTGGCACTTAATTATGGTTAAGATTTAATTTACACTGAACATTTGGAAATATTTAAAAATTGAAAAAAAATACCAAGAACATTGAGAAGTATTGAACAATGAACATTAAGCATTAACTTATTAAAAATAATAATACCATCGCTATGTGGTACTTTCGTCATACTAAATGTTTATTACAAGCATAGCATATAAGCTGCCGCGAATTCATCCGTACTCCTTCTTGTTAATTGTTTTTTCTCTTTTCTGTAATATTCGTAGGCTTTCTATAGTGAATTTCGCTTTTTCCCTCCGTTCCTTGTCTAATATTTTGACGTTGGCTAAATCAGCTGTGTGACCACTATTTTGTATGTGTTGCGCTAAAGCTGTGCTTTGCTTATTTTTCTTTATATCGGCTTCGTGCTCTGACAGACGAACGCCCAATGCTCTCTTAGTCGTTCCTATACAAACTTTGTTGCAGTTTTCGTTTTTGCTCCCTTTGCATGTTATTTCGTATACCACGTTGCTTTGTTGCTGGGGCGGTAGTGGCGTTTTTGTTTTGGTAAAGATCGAAGAAAGTGTGCAGTTTGATCGGTACGCCAACGTTTACATTAAGGTTGTTGGTGTTTATGTCGTCGTTAAATTGTTCGACTAGCGAGTTAATTGTGACGCGAATGGATTTCGCTGCGTTGAAAAATTAATATTTAATGTGGAAAAAGTGCAATTTTCCTAGCAAAAATATTAAAAAA